TTCTTGTTTCAACCTAAATTTCCGATGCACTTTGATCATACAAAGTCCAGACAGTCTATACTCGAATCATTGTAGACCGAAGTCATGTTTTAACGCGTCTAAATGATCGTTCAATTGAATAAGTTGTCACGATAAAATATTTTTTGTTATTTTTTCATTCGTTGGATAAAATTCACGATTTTTGAAGATAATCTCTGCAAAATCTACTGGCTGCACTTTCCACGCTAACACCTATGTCGAATATTCGGCACTTGGAAGCTAAACTGAAACAAATAAAAACGCCTTGTAATTTTAACTAACGTGTAAATCTTAAAATCGAAATATTTTTACCCCCTTTAAAATTCCTAATTAAAATTGTTTATTTTTTTACGCTCCGTACTTATAGCATAAAATCGAGAAGTTTTCATGGAAAATGTATTTATCTCTATTATCATTTTGTATAATTGTATATATATATAATTTAGTTTGATATTTTCATGCTCTCTATGAAAACATTAGATCATTTTTAATATTTGTATAAAATATCTTTAAACATCTAAGTACAACTTTTATACCGTATTCTTTTAAAAGACATTCTGTAGATAATATTGACGAGTGTCCTGCTACATTTTTAGATATTTTTTTTACTAAATGAACGATAAAAGCGTTTTTAACTCTTTATTCTGTATTATTTTTAGGTACATGTAAATTGGGTCCCGAGCAAATGTATGGTCAAAAATAACGTGCAATTTCTGTCTTATATGATAACAAATGTAAATTCGATCCCGACAACCCCTTGGATAAACAAATTAAAACCGGAAATAATAGTGATTGAAGGATTTTATTAATTTTTAAACCAAAATTGAAAGGATATACATTTAATGTGCTGCAAATAAATTACTAAAATTTAATTTAAAAATAATAAATTTGTTACAATTGATAATTTGATGAACATACCGTCAAGAGCTGCTAGGACCGAATTTACCTATCGATAAAGAGGTTTTAAATTTACATAGTTTATATATGGCCTGCTGGGACCCAAATTACCAACACCCTTATTTTTATGTCTCTTTTTTTTTTCGGCAGCTTTACTTCCATTTACTTGAAATAAAACAGTATTTATTTTTAGAAATTCGAAAATATTGAATATTTTTAACAAAAATTAGAATATCATCCCAAAGAGATTTAAAAAAAATAAGTGGGACACTTATAAAAAATCCTGCTTTCAGATTTTTGAAATATTTTGACGTCTGTGCGTATTTTGTAGGATAGTGATTGTTTGCAAAATCACCGAAACATGTAATTTTTTGTTGATGACGGTTGCATGAGAATGACTTAAAAAATTAAATAAAAAATGACGAGATCTTTCAGCGATTTGGCAAACAACGTCTTATGGATAAAATTGGACTTCCTGTATGTTCAAACCAGACTGAAGAAATTAAAAAATAAATTTAACTGTCGAAACAAAGTGTCAAAATTGTCAAATGTCAGTGAGCAGGATACAAAGCATATAATAGGTCTACTACCTGTGGATAGGACCAATATTAAAATGCATTGAAGTCAAAGAAGTTTGTCCCTGTATATAGAATTTTTTATTAAACCACGAGCAAGATACATGCTTTAAAAACGACAACCTTCGAATAACTTTTTTTTTATGTTAGAGCATTTAATTCAACAATAACTAAAAGATGTTGATACATTCCAGTTTACCTGCAAAATGTGCTTTAAAATTTTCATTCAGAATAACTTTATTTATTGAAAAAAAAACGGAATTCTGTATTATAAGCTTTTTATTCAAATTTCATGTTCAAACACTATTTGTACAGGATGAGTAACAACTATCCCTACGAGCTCTTGTGCCTAAACGTTACTTGGTAACAAATTAGTTGGGTGGCATTGAGCAGTTTTCACTTATACAGGATGATCCAAAAATCTTATGTTTTTTACCCCGTGTTTTATTACATTTTCTAAATACTACGTTAAAAACTAGATCAAACTTTATAAAGGGTTTTTATGTTTCCGTTTAAAAAAAAAATTAGACGAATGTTTTCATATTTTCTTTAACATTTAATGACTCAGCTTTTAACTGTTACCATTTAGGCACAAGCAACAGACATCGATCGAGGTTCTGTAAAATCAAAATGACGTACATTTCATTCTAAATGGAAATAAATATTAAAATTTGACAACCACTTTGTCGGAAATAAAATATGAATTTAAACATGTAATCTCTAGGATCTTCTTCGTAACTTCAATGTTGTGTAAGTCTGAAAGCAATTTTCGAACTTATCCACAATTATTAAACCTATATGTAGGGTTGCTGTTGAACAACTTGAATGTTTCCAAATGTTAGAGTGAATTTTCCACTTTTTTGCCGAATCGTTTCCGTAAAAAAAAAAACAGCAATAATTCATACAGATCTTTTTGCAACAAAAAAAATTATATCCTAAATATATATTGTGAAATTGTTGCAAGACGTGGTTTTTTGTTGGAACAAAGACCTATTTATTGTACAGAGCTATGTAAAAAATTGGATTCACTCTACCTGTATACATACTTTTCGAATTGTATAAATTGTTTTCATAAATGATGTCAAAAATAACTAGTGCATTAATAACGAAATATACTGCTAAGCAGATTTTATTTTTGTTCTGTAAATATTATCGTTAGTTATAATAAATTAATTAATTATTTATCTTTATTTTTTAAATTCCTTTTATCCATATTTATTATACGGGAAAACCCCATTATACAAAAAATACACACAAAGGAAAAAAGTGTTTAACCACCAATTTTAATGCTTTAATATTACAAATCTGATTTTTTTTTAAGAATGTAGATTGACAGATGACCAAAATAGCCAGTTTGTTGACTGAAATGGCACATAATTAAATACAGTTCATGGTGTTAGATTATAGAGTTTTTAAACGTATTAATGGATTTGGATTTAGTGTTGTTGATGGTAATAAACCACAATAAATATTGCGAATTTGCAGATCTTTTTTGGAATACGAAAACTTGATACATGCATCTGTAAGTCCGCCATATTTGCAGATCTGCAAAGTTGCCGCCATATTTGCAGATCTGCAAAGTTGCAGACTTTTTGTAATCTCACCCTAAATCTTTACCATGGAGGAAGAATAATTAAGGATCGATTCCACCGTTGTGTTAAACGGAGATTAAAATGACATTGTTAATGTAAAAATGTCAGTTTAAACTTCGTTTACCTCAACGGTGGAATCGGTCCTAAGAGTTGCCGTTTCTTTGTATAAATATGGCAACATGTTTGCCTTCAGCGACATGTGGGATAGTTTTGTGCAACTAATACTCAGTCGGTAATATAAAAAGCTGTAATGCTATTTTAATTTGAAAATAGGCGGGCTTTTGAATTTACTTCGACAAAATATAAGAATTTTACATTTTTAATAGCATTTTTTTAACACGCATCTCATGCGTGTTAAAAAATGCTAATAAAAATGTAAAATTTTATGTTAAATAATTTTAGAGGTATAAAATAAATAATACAAAATTGTATTATAACTAAATATTATTTGTTGAATCTATATTGGTTACAACAATAAACATAATATATATTTTCTGAATAAACAACTATTTTAAATAACACAAAACGAACAAAATTTTTCTTTAATCGTGCGAAATAAAACAAGAGTTCCATCCATGAATCCAGAAACAAAAATAAAAAAAAACAATTGTTGAAAGCGAAAAACTTCCCAAAGCACATGATTTTGATTGTATGTGACTAATTACTTTTGCATTTGCAGCGATTTAACTAATTTTTACTTTCCTATCTGTATACAGACATAAGGAAAGTATAGGAATCATGATTTTTTTCGACCTCGAGTTTTCGACGGATTTTTACGTTTTGAGGTCCCCTGAATCCGTTTTGACTATTTTCGCGATTATGTCTGTGTGTGTATCCTATAACTCATGAACCGATACACAGAAAAACACCAAATATTAAACTTAAGCTTTGTTCCAGCGTCCAATGAACTGATTAGATTTTGAGCAGAGTCGGAACATCTGGGGGGGGGGGGGTACTTTATAGGTGGTCATTTTTATATTTTATGGAATATATCTGTTATTTACGTTTGGGGAAGAAAATTCTTCAAATAAAAGTTACTTCTTATATTATTATCTATAATTTTTGTTCTATACAAAATTTTTCTAAAATGATCCGTATTCGAGAAATTTGACAAAATGTAAACAAATATTTTTTTATAAAAATTGTTTAAATAAAAGTTGTTTGTAATATAATTCTCTATAATTTTTATCCTATACATAATTTCTCTAAAATGGACCGTATTCGAGAAATTTGAGAAAATTGTAAATTTTGAAATTTGATGAAAACTCAAAAACGGATAAAGGAAAAAACATTAAATTTTAAACTTAAATTTTATTTCGGCCTGACGTGAAATGACTAGATTTTGGACAAAGTCGGAACATCTGGGGGGTACTTTATGGAAGGCCGTTTTTATATTTCATGGAATATATGTTATTGGTTTGGAGAAGAAAATTGTTCAAATAAAAGTTACTTCTAATATTATCTATAATTTTTGCTTTATGTCAAATTTTTCTGAAATGGTCCGTATTCGAGAAATTTGACAAAATGTGCAAATTCTGATTTTTAAGAAAATTGTTAAACTAAAAGTTGTTTGCAATATCGATCTCTATAATTTTTGTTTACATGATTTTTCTAAAATGGACCTTAATGGAAAAATTCAAAGAAAAGTGCTAAATTTAAATTTTTCAGTATTTTCGTTTTCAATGAAATAGAAAAATTTTTTGAGTTAGATGTATGTGGAAAATGTATATATTTAGTTTATCCTCTAAACATTTATAGAGGTGCTGCAATAGGTTGTACAAAATAACCAGAAAAAGCCTATAATTAGATAGGAAAGTCATGTGTTGGACACATCAGATTTTTTTGACCAAAAAATCAAAATAAATGTGTACATTAAATGGTTAAAAGTAAATTTTTAGACCCTAGGGAGTAAAAGTGACATTTTAGTCCTTGAAAATAGACTAAAATTAAACTTGCCAGAAACCTTCAGGAAGGGCAGAAGGATGCCACAAAAGGTGAAGATAAAAAGGTACCTTGTTGTCTAAGGCTAATAAAGCATACAAACTATATTAAAGATATTTTATTGTTAAAACAACACTAAGCAATAAATTCATATGGAATAGGTGCTAGCACTTGTGCCCCAGCCTTTCCATTGACAATATGTGCAGGCCTAGGTTGGGCAGGTTGTCTCTTAAGCTCTACTTTGACATTCTTTTCCTTGGCTTCTTTACGGAGTTTTTCGTTAGATTTTACACGTGTCAAGAAATCTTGACGGCATTTTGAGTGATTTACATGCTCAATGCGGACATTGATTCTCTTGGGAATGATTCTTCCACGTACCCTTGAAAATAAAATCACTTTTTAACATTTTTTTTTTTACAAATTTTGTTTATGTACTTACCTCTTGTTGACAATAACACCAAGAGCGTGGGCAGTTACATTGAAAACACGGCCGGTTTTGCCATGGTATACTTTGTGGGGCATACCTTTTTGGACAGCACCATTGCCTCTAACATCTACAATATCACCTACTTTGTAGACACGCAAGTATGTGGAAAGTGGGATTACACCATGTTTTTTGAATCTTCGGGCGAATAAATCCCTGGTTCCTCTACGATAACCTTTTGAGTTGGTCATTTTGGCACCTACAAAAAAAATCGAGAAAATTGTGGTTAGAAAAGCACATGGTTGTAGATTCAAAATTCATGAAACGTGGACAAACAGGGTAATATTAATAAAATATTGAGTAAAAAATTATCGCTAATTAGTCAATGTATCGTAAAAGTAAGCTGAATTTAATTTTAATCAAGAAAAAACCAATTTTTTAGAAAATCTTACCTTCTTCAACTTCGAGTTAAAAGGTAAAAGAAAATGGTGGAGCAAAATATAAACGTCAACCGTCAACGACGTCAAACTTTTAATCACGTTCCGATTTTTATGCGGTTTTACTCCGGAATAATTCTATGACAAAAATACTGCATGTTCTGTTTATAAATACGAGAATAGGTCCGTATTTATAAACAGAACTTACCGGTGTCGGACTTGGGTAAGTTGTCCTTGAACTAAAATCAAAGTTCGGTTACAACGGCTCTAAAGTTCTAGGTGGTTCTGGTGTTAAACTGGAATTTAGAGATGGATATAAGCTAATTTGTAACCGTTATCTACATTTACGGATTTGTTACTACCCATCTCTAAATTCACGCGATATAACCGAACTTCGATTTTAGTTCAAGGACAACTTACTCAAGTCCGACTCAGCTGAGTTTTGTTTATAAATACGGGCCTTGAGTTTTGGACCAAGTAACAGGAGTAACCGATGTTTTGGTTAATAACGGACCATACCCCAAATTGATCACAGATCACACTCTTTTTGATCGGAGCCGGAGCGTGTTTCCTGAACGCGCTCCAGAACAGCGTTGCCAACTGGAGGGAAATTTCCCGTTTAGCGGGAATTTTCAACACAAAAGAAGTGGGTATTTTTAGGGCAAGTATCACAGGGGCAGAAGTTGGAAAGGCTTTTGCTGGTTCTCCCACATCATACACATAAATTGACAGGTTTGCGGTGGATCTAACCGAACTGGACGCGATACATGGGCGTAAAAAATTATTTTTTAGACTATAATAACAATTTGGAGTAAATAGTTTAATAAATTGCGAATAGCTGTTGAAATGGTAGAATTATGATTTGGATATTATATATAATACATGTTCAATAATTATTTATAGTCCACAAATACATGCGATTGTCCAGTTTCGCCGGTAACAATTTAATAAAATTACAAAGGTTTGTTCTGGTTCTCAAAATGAAAACTGTTTTGAAACTGCGCCGGACCGTATGCGTAAAGGCAAAAAATCCCCGACTGTTTGAAATTGTTGGAAAACCAGAACACGTCATAAAGGTGTTTTGTTTATTGTTTATTATAATAATGAAGTTCCTTTTGAAAGCTCAGCTTCAAATAACATTTGCATGTATATGTTTACCATTATCATCACATTTCAATGGAATAAATAAAAAGAATAATATTAAAAAATTAATAATTCTAAAATTGCTTTAATTTACAAATAAAACAAGAACAAGAGACATTCGTCCACATATAAATAAACAATTTGGGATTGTATACGTTTCGTATAGTCTAAAAAGCCAATACAATATTCATAACACTTCAAAAACGCATGCGCGGTCAAAACAGTCCGAGTCGATCCACACTCCCAAGCATGAACACTTTTTGACTGTTTACAACAATCACGGATTATTTCGGATACGAAACCAGAACACTGGACTGAGAGATCCGAAGTAGTCCCAGAAAAACCAGAACATTTTTTATCTACTGCGCATGAGCCCGACAGTTGTGGATCGTTATTTCTCAAAACCAGAACAGACCTTTTATTCTATGAAACGACACTGCAAAATTTCCGAATTTGTCCGATGTGGTTTGACGTTTACCCCCTCTCTACCTACCAACTTCAAGATTGGCAAAACAGAAGAAAAGTATTTTCTGTTTACGATTTTAGAACGTTTTAATAATAAACTCTTTTTATAATAAAAATGGACAAAAATAAATTTAGGAACATGGAAGACGAAATGAGCAGGTAAATGTTTGTTTATTGTAGCAAAGAGAAATGTTAATCATTTGTATTTTAGGTTTGAGGCTGAAATATCAGGCCAATCTTTAATGAATGGCTATGGACCCACATATATACCTGGTTTTGGAACAATTCCTCCGCCACCGACCCCTCCGATGTTAATTCCTCACCAAGTAAGTAAAGGGGCCAAAAGGTATGACCACCACACATATTCTTCAAATCCAATTATCGCTCAGCCAGCAGTTGTATCTGCAAAACCAACTTTATATGCTCCTCCTAAACTTACAGCAACAAGCACCGTTCAACCCGCTCCAACACAACAACCTATGGATTTTATGGCACTTCAAAGTGAAGTTGAAAAAAAACTTAAGAAACTGAAAAATGAAAAAGTCAGTGCCGAATTAGCTATTTCTCAAGGTAAACCATACATTTTTAGCAGTCTTAATAACACTGCTTAATTTTTTAACAAAAAGATAATTTGTATCTACTTAAAAATCATATATTTTGACAATAAGACACCCTTGTTTATATTTTTTGTTCTTATGTACTCTTCTAATTAAATTTGCATTCTTGATGATTGTTATATTAACATTTTAATATTTTAGGAAAGGCTAGTAGTGCTTTACAGTCATTTGGCCCTGAAGATTACAAAAGGAAAAGTAGCAAAAACAGAAAATTAATGAGAACTGCAGGAGGTCAAACTTGGGAAGATTCTTCTTTATCAGATTGGCCTGATGACGATTTTAGAATATTTTGTGGAGATTTAGGAAACGATGTTACAGATGAATTATTAACAAGAACATTCAACAAATTTCCCTCATTCCTAAGGGCTAAAGTTATAAGAGATAAAAGAACTAATAAAAGTAAAGGCTATGGTTTTGTTAGTTTCAAAGACCCTGCCGATTTTACTAAAGCCATGAAAGAAATGAATGGTAAGGTTAATTACAACATAATGAATGTATTAGATTAATAAATTTTAACAGTGCATCCATCATGATTACTAATAAAAATTGAACAAAATATTTTTTTTATGTTTAAGGGCGATATGTTGGTAGCCGGCCAATAAAATTAAGAAAAAGTACTTGGAGGAACAGGAGTATAGATATTGTTAAGAAAAAAGAAAAGGAAAAAGTGGCTCTCTTAAACTTGCTTACTTCTGGAAGTGGACGCTGAACATTTTCCATCTATTTATGTAAATGTATTGTAAAAGTAAAGCAAAATATGAGATTTTTGTTTTGAATTTTGAAATAGACGAATATCTGTATCAGTCCAGCTATAACTAATTTATTATATTAAATAAAAAATAAATTAGTTTTTCATTTTTGTTAAACAGAATGATTAAATTTGAATAAAAATTTATTTAATTACTAGTCGACCAATGAAAAGTGTAAAAGTATTAGTATTCAACTGTTCCGCTGGATCGGATATCGACGGGAGTAAATTTTGAAAACACTAGAAACGTTCTGCTGTGTAATTATAAACCGAAATGTTGCCCCTGAATCGAGCCGTAAGATCAAGGCTGATTTGTATGGATCTGGTTTAAACTTCGTTCAAAATTTTTTTGTAAATAAAACCTGGTTAGAGGTAAATTTTGAAAAATTGCGTCAGGTCGATCTTCGCCACCACCACAGAACACTTACTCTGCCACCACAGTGGTTATTCCACAGAACACTTGGTTATTCTCATGGAGGAAAGATTGGCCGTGTTCATCGTCGTCAAACATGTTTTAAAAGCAAAGAAACATGTTTCATAAGCGGTTGGAATGACGCTGAACGATCATTTTTGTTTACGATTTGTTTTCTCAACAACCTCAAATCTGTCAAAAATGGAATGACATTTGGTTGGCACAAAGAAGGTTATGTGAATTGTTTACTTTAGTATTTTTTTAAAAAATTTGAGTTTAATTGATTTGTACAGTGAATTAGAGTTTATATAAGTACCCTTCTGAAAGTGGTTTTGACAATTTTACGGCGAAAAACCTACAACTTGTATTATTTTGGGTTGTAAAGTCATGATGTTTTTATTGCCTCTATGGATCTTGAATTCTACATACTTAGACTAATCAAAAAAATTGTAATAGTCATTTTATTACAGGTAAAATACATTTTTTTGACACACAAATAAAAACATACTGTAACTAGATCATACTTTGAAGAGCAGAATGAGAATGCTATTTATTGTGTATTGTGTTTAATCAACTGTCTGGTCTGCACCAATAAATTAAAGTAAAGGAACTCATGATACTAATAACATACATCTCAAAAAGTGATCTTTTTACATATACCAAGGATACATAAAAGTGTATAATAATAGAGACATCAAGTATGACTTTCTTATTTTAAGGGAAACAGAGTTCCTTCGAAGTTAGTAATCATTTAAACTGGACTCCAGCCCAGAACTTGAGGCATGTGTCTCAAACCAGTTAAAAACTAACTGAATCGAAAAAGGAGGAAGAGATAAAAATGAAAATGAACCTGAAGTAAACTTTTATTTTTGAGTCATAATACCGAACATCATAAGTCCCGCTTTAGGCAAGACAAACCCACTTTCAAGTTATGTGTACCATTGTCCCCAAAGAACGCAAGAATGTCCTGCTTTAAAAGAAAAGGTGATATGATGCAAAGCATTCTATTAAAAAAGAGTTATCTCTTATAAATATGGGCTAGTGAAAAAACTTACCTAATTTCAGGTATTAGTATTGAAAGCCAAGCATAACATAAACAAGTCACGTCAACAGTTCCACTCCCATTTAAAAACTAAAATATAGAAAATCAGCCCACTTAACAAGTTTTATTTCGCTTTTCTAATTTTTAATAAATTATTGTTTTACTTTTACTAAAATCTTACTGTTGTTATTCTACATTAAAAATAATGAAAAATTGCTGTTATGCCTTTTAAAATTTACAGGCTTCTTGCTGTGAGGTAAGAAATGATAAAGTTTTATTATAAAAACCGAAAATTGTTAAAATAATCCCTATCTAATGCTTCACTTATTTTTTTACAAAGTATTTTTTATGTAGGTACTTAGGTGTTATACATTTTTGGTCATTGCTAATATTCATTGAGTCTGAATTATTTTTATGTATTAATAAAATTTGTATAGTATTATAGAGTTATACATACCTTGTCGACAAACTACATACAGTAATTGTTTTATAGGAATGATATATTTTGTATTGGAAATTAATAAATATACAAATTTAATGTTGTCATATAGGTAGAGCGACTTATTAGCAAAAATTATTTGAAATGTATACAGTAATGAGGTATTTTTTTATAGGTTCAACAAACCAAGGTGGGCCCTTTTTAATATAATTACTTATATTTAATTTATTTTGTAAATAAAATGTCATACTTTTATTATTATTTATTTTTTAATGCGCTATATACATTAATTACATGCCAACAAAAAACATCGGTGCAGTTTTAATAACAAAACTCGTCTGTTTTGAATAACTCTGTGCTAAAACTACCATGTAGGTATGTTATATTATCCATATTCCTTACTGGTGGAATCCCATTAACGTCCAAATGAAATAATTTAAGCATACGTGTATATATCTACGTCTGGAATTAATTTTATTTTCTTCAAACAGGTACCTCCATAAATACAATATTATATTAAAATACAACTTAACTAATCAACTCTATTAGGGTTTAAAAATATAAATAAACAAACACATAACCTAACAAAATGCCAAAAGACGGAATTGACAGGGGTTCAAGGTCAATTTTATGCTTTTAAAGCAAACAAGCGAGTTTATTTTCGCTTTTATGCTTCTTCAAAAGCGCTGCAGCGGTTGACAGTTCATCGTCACCGCTTACTCAGCGTTACAACATGTTTGACGACGATGAACACGGCCATTATTATGTGCCACCACCTGATCTTTAATAGGTCTTTTCCTTTGCATCGACAGTTGCCGCGTTTGAGAATCCACATCGGATGCATTTTTTACATCTCGAGCGTTTTTTTATCCACATCGGACACATCTACTACATCTACATCTGCGTTTGTTTATCCCAGATGTACCTGTTCAGATTACATTTTTTACATCTCGATTTGGAATGAGATGTGAATGAGATGTTCGTTCCATGCCAGAAAGTAAGTGTTCTGTGAAGCCTTGTTTGTCAATTTTTCCTTTGTTTATGCTAACATGAATATAAAAGTGATTAGTTTGCTTAACTTTTGTTTATATTTCAAATTTAGGTTGATTTGTAGTCTCAAAAGTCAAATTTAATAAGTATAAACTTCTAACTTATCATTGACATTTGTCACGTGACCAAATAAAGTCTAGAGCGTTTGTTTATTACATCTACATTCAGATCTAATTCTCTATCACGTGATAAAAAATTCGCAACATCTCAGATGCATCCGATGTGGATTCTCAAACGCGGCAAGTGTAGCACTGAGCTACGTTACTTCTGAAAATGTCGTTCCATCCATACAATTTGTATAAATGGAACGATATTTTCAGAAGTGGTGTAGCTCAGTGCTACACTTTCGATGCAAAGGAAAAGACCTATTATTTTGATTTGATCAGTGGTCGTCAGTAGTCTTTACTCTAACTCTAGTAGCCTTCTCTTTTGTCGAACAAGTAGCAAACTAAACGAACGTAAGCGATTTGTCAGTGTCACTATTGTCATTGTCAAGTCATAAACTTTGATCTATACGAGGATCCTACAATTATTTTTAATTCTCTTATCTTAGAAAACAACTTTGATAATTAATTATAAACAGTTTAAAGAGATCAGTTACGAGTGATGGAACTAATTAAAACGCCAAAGGTTATTAATATTTATGTTGACTTTAATTCAAATTATTTTTTTTGTTATTTCCATAAATTGTATATTTATTTTGTTTTGTCATTTTTAGGTAGAAAATGTTCGAATGTTAGATAGATATTCAAAAATACCTTCACAGGGAACATTGTATTTAACAGCGACCCACTTAATTTTTAATGAACCTGAAGTAAAAAAGGAAACATGGGTAGGTTAAGCTTAATCTTTTTTACTTTAATAAAAAATCATTATATTGTTTTAGATTCCTCATATGCACATTGCTAGTTTAGATAAATTACCGTTGTCAACCACTGGCTCACCATTACTAATCAGAACAAAAACTTTTTTGTCAGTAACATTTGTGGTACCCAGAGAGAGGGATTGCCATGATGTTTATGTGAGCTTACAACAACTATCACAGCCTTACAGTTATGAGGAGCTATATTGTTTTTCCTATACACCCCCTGCTGAAGAAATCCAGAAATATGTGGGATGGAATTTCTATGATTTACAGTCAGAATACCAACGGATGGGGGTACCAAATGACCAGTGGGCAATGACAAAATTAAATAGAAACTATGAAGTAAGTTTTATTTTATAAAAACCTTTCAGTAGTGTAATAAATTGAATTTTAGAAGGTTATTTTGTGAAAAATAGATCAAATTAAACATTCAAATTCTTTATTTTGAAAAACAATACATATCTTTTGTAAATGAAATAAAATTAAAGAGTAAAGTAGGCTGAACCGTCCAGTTAAAGACCACTTTAGGCAACAGTGATATATACATATTTGTAAAAATGTTCGTTTTGTTTTTAAAAGAAAAAGCAAGGAATAGCTGGATGAATTTGTTTACTAATTTAACTTTTTTATCATAAAAATGTAAACATGTTAATTTGTTTAAAATATTCGATAATTTTTAAAATTCTAGTAAATGACCAGTTCCTTTGAGTAAATGACCAAATAAAATACCAGTAAATGACTACAAAACTACTTTATTGTCTAAAAGAAAACATAAATACTTTAAAAAAATTAAAGCAGTGTTTCATACTTTTGCATTTCAAGAACTGAATACACATATCCTCAACTACATATCAGCATTGGTGGTTCAATCTTTTTAATGACATCCTCTTCTTTATACCATATTTGGTCATTTTTTTCTGGCCATTTCCAATTTTGTTCACTTTTACACATGACTCGCACTTCATATTCTCCTCTTTGTTTTCATATAACAACACCAGGAAAATAACTTCTCATATTTGACAATCACGAAAACAGCAATGGTAAATGTAATTGGTGGCATAGATTCATTGATTTCATTTGCATCCTGGTTTTCTTGTTCAATTTCCTCTAAAGATTCTTCATCTGAAATATTCGAATCACTTGAACTTGAAGAAGATTCTCTTTTCTTTAACTTTTTTGGTCTATTTTCTTTATTTTTGTTTAATTCTTCATGTCTACGCTTTTTTTCCTCTCTAACTTTTTTCTTTGCTCTTTTAATTCTTCAGCAATTCTTTTTTGTTCTTCTTTCTTCTCATGATATTCTTTCCAATATTTGGAAGTTATTGCCAAAGAGGCTTTTTCTTTAACACTTTTTTTAGTGGCAATTTCCAACTTTGGAAAGTGTAAGTGTTCCTTCCAGGAATCTTGGACTTTAAGAGATTTTTTTGAGCTAAAATTTAAATCCAATTGTGTTTCTTTTGACTCATTTTCCTCATTTTGATTTTCAATTTGGATGCTTTTATTTTGAGTATTGTCTTGGTTTTCTACATGTTCCATTTCTTCCTCAATTTGTTCACATATATTTTCATTTTTTTGGGTAATCTTGGGGACACTTTCTTAATTTTCTTTATTTATATCATCTACATTTCTAATTTCTTCAACTTCCTGATAATCATCTGATAATCATCAGTTTCTGTGTCCATTATTAGAACATTATTTTTTGTATTTTCTCTTTCGTCTTCTAATGCAATATAATTCTTGCCATTTTCTTCATTGGGGTTGTCTTGATTTTCTGCATATTTTTTCCCATAATTTAAATAATTTATCATTATTTAAAACTTTTTGTGCTTTTCTCCCTTCTCTGTATGTTTTTAAGGTCTCTGGGGAAATTTTACTTTCAAGAATTTTTAAAAATTTCGTTTTATCAATTCCACTCTGATTACTCTCTACATTATTGTTATCTTCTTTTAGTGCTGCCTGACGGGTATTTTGAAAGTATTTTGAAAAATCAACATTATTTGCATTAAATGGAAATATGCCACATGCCCTGAAGGCGTTTTGTATGGTTTCAATTTTACTGGCATTTTTAAATGCTTGTGCAAAAATAGGTGCAAAAGATACTTTGGTTAGAGATTTTCTTGTTTATATTTCTGACACTGCTTCATCCAGGATACTTTTAGAGGTCTAAAGATACCAACATCACATGGCTGTAATATGTGTGTAGCATTTGGTAATAGACAATATAAAATAATTCTTTTTTCTTGGCAAAAAGTGGCTAGTTCAGGACTGATATGTGACTTATGTCCATCTAGCAGAAAGAGAACAGGCAATTTTATGTTATTATCTAACAGCAATGGATAGAAATTATTCGCTACATACTCAAAAAATGTAGGACCAACCATCCAACCTGTATCACTTCGACCAATATAAAAATTATCAGGGATAGAGAGCAATGTCTCTAGGTATTCTTTTGTATGGATATATTATCAGTGTTGGAGCTACTTTTCCACTAGCAGAAAAATTTGCTAATACAGTCAGGCACTCTTTTTCTTTTTCGACAGCAACATCATAAAAATTTCTAAAATGTTTTGGCCCTAGCACCTTTCTTGTTTTGGGGCATAATTGCATCCCAGTCTCATCAGTATTATAGACCCAATCAGCATCTTCAAGAACATCAACAGCATCTTCTTCTATTAAATAACTTTTAAGATCCTGAAACCACTTTCTGATATCTTGCTCAGTGACGCTAGCTCTAGCTTTGGAAATAATTTCAGCATTTATTTTCCCAATATCTGGCTTTACTTTTAAAAATTCTTTTAGCATTTATCACTGGGACGGTTGTTGTTGAATGGATTAGGACGCTGGGTTTCTTCCATTACCTTTTGTATGGCATCTTTCACTTCATCTGGATACAAAGGAAACCCAATTTTTGCTTTTTGGATTATCCAATTCTCCAACATATCTTCTTTCTGAGCAGTCAAGATTCTTGGTGGGTCCATCTTTCTTACTGAAACATCGGATTTTCCATGCAGTTTATTAATTAAAGTGCCTTTTGGAATTTTAAATTGTTTACTGGCTTTAGTAGCACTAATTCTTCTTTCTTGGACTTCTGTCACTGCAGCTTTTGGATCTTCAATGGAATACTTAAATCTTGTATATGCTCTATTGGGTGCTTCTGTCATCTGAAAATAAATGTTACACAATTGCTTTATTGCACAAATAATATTTTAATACATAAGCAGCAAAAAGTCATTGACTAGGCTAAATATCCAGTGAATGACCAGAAGAGCATTTAGATAATAAGAGTGGTCATCTATAGGCCAGTCGATTCCCTCATTATTTACAATGCTTGCATAAAAGAAGCATCCATATAGTGATTAAAGTACATTATCAGAACAAATTATTTTAAAGTTCCCACCAACCCAGTAAATGACTACATTCGGTCATTCACTGAATTTCTCAGCTATAGCATTATCTATTACTTATTGACCATTTAAAAATAAATGCTTTTTGAGGTTATATTAGTATTACAGCCTAAAAAATACTAAATTTGATCTTGTTTCATGCAGTTTAGTCCAAATAACATAACAGTTTTACAACTCCAATACATATTTTTTTACAAAATAAAAAACACTTAGCTCTACTTACCTTAATTACTTGTGGTTACTTGAGAAGGAAACAAAAACACATGCACTTTTAACTGACATTTGTAAATTGCCGATTATGAGCAGTGTATAAAAAAATTGAAAATTAGGTGTGGATCAATTATTTGTTGTATAATATGATGCCTTGGAGGGAAAGCCCACTCATGCGACACGTCGCGCGCGACTGATCGCGAGGCATCGCGCGCGGCAATACGTTAGATGTTTTTAAATGACTCAAAGCCCATTAACGCGGTTCTGTCGCGTGGTCGCAATGCGGCTGAAAATTAGAAATGACAAGCCCGCGATTTTCCTGCCGCACGCGGCTAGCGTTATCATGGATTCATATGAAGAATCACTCATACAAACGTCAAGTCGCGTGCGAAACGCCAGTTGAGAGTTGGAGTTTCCTGTTAACTTTTTGACAGTTCCAGTGAAAAAATGTCCGACAGTTGTATTGATATAGATGAATTTATATCCGATATTCAGGACCGACCTCAAATATCGAACAGTTAATTGAAATAAAATAGCGAAAAAAATATTTGTTCGGGAATCTGCGCTAGCAGTTTGTCAAATGACACTACTCTCATTCTGAAATATTTAAAGAACTCATCTTCGTGTTGACGTAAATCCTTATGTAATAAATTAAATGTGCCTTTTACATAAGGGTCTATATATAATGGATGAACCCAGTACCTACGTCGTTTCAATTTTTTCCGCCGACGAACAGAATAAAACAACACCGTTACTACTTCTTCCACCTCTATTTTGATACTGAACGTCTGTGTCGCTGCTTGTCGTCTGATAAAAATCGCACCTAAAAAATCGCATGCGGCAGGTCGCGCGCGACAAGTCGCGTGAGTGGGCTTTCCCTCTTAGGTTATTAAAAAATATTAATAAATCATAAATCAGTAAATATTGGTCAATGACTGGGACGTGGTTAATAACTGGACAGTGGCGGCATGCCACATTGTCACACCCACTAAAAATATAATTTAAGTTTAAATGCTCAATTCCAAAAACCCATCGAAGGAGTAATATTTTTAGGTAGAAACCTCATATATAAGGTTTTCTCGCAATTTAGCTGAAGGCCATTTTCCTCACAATATCCCTCAAATTCCATTGTGACGTTATTTCCATTTTCTACTAGGGTACTGACACATTTCTCAGACAGTATCATATTGGCATCATCCGCATAAAAAACAGCTTTATCTGATATTTCACAAGTGTTTGAAATGTCGTTTATAAAAATTATAAAGAATATTGGCCCAAGCAATGTGCCTTGGGGAATGCCTAATGCATTACTCTTGCATTCAGATGAAGCCCCATCAATAGCTGTTGTCTTACACCAATCCGCCAAATATGAGACTACTTAGTCATGTGGCTTTCCTCTTATTCTTCTACATTCGAGTTTTTTTTTAATAGTAAGCTGTGGTCTATTGAGTCAAAGGTCATAAAAAATACCTATAATATGCTGTTTGTTTCCGGTTAAGTTCTTCATTATATAGTTTATATATTCTAATATTGCTGTGTTAGTTGATTTATTAGCTCTAAACCCATGTTGGCTGTCAGAAATTATTTTGAAATTTTGGAGATACTTTACTAGTCTAGTGGAAAATGCTGCTTCAAAAAGTTTAGCTATTTGACTCTGTATACATATAGAGCGGTAATTTTTAGGGTCTGTATACGAGTCTTTTTTATATAGATTGGGATACATTTAGATTCTTTAAGATTTGGAAAGTTTCTGGTAGTGAATGATAAGTTGATTAGATATTAAGTGGTACACATATACAGTATGGTTCAAATGAAAGGAATAAATTCATTATAATGGAAGTAGCTGGTTTTTCGAAAAAATGCTCGGACAGGTCAATTTTGTTTACTCAAAGTGCAATTTTTTAAATAGAATTCAATTTTCCCCCACTTCCCATTTTTGGGCAGTGATGTCATTGACAATTTTTTTAAATGGTAACCTCAATTTTTTTTTCTTGATTTTGATAGATCTTGCAATTTCCTACTCGGAAACATAATATTTGAAATATCTTACATAACAATTTTTTTTTAATAGAAGACATTTAAAGATCAGACACAAAAATTTTATTTTATTTTGAGAACACAATAAATGAATAAAAATTATTTGTAATTAAATGCCTAATCTAACAAAATAATAATAAAAATAATAATAATAAAAAGAATTTGTGAAATTGTCATTAAATTCTTTTTATTATTATTATTATTATTATTATTTTTTTTAGATTAAGCACTTAATTACAAATAATTATCTTTTATTAATGTATTGTGTTTCAAAATAACATAAAATTTATGTATCTGATCTTTAAATTACTTTTTTTTAAAAAAAATTGTTATGTCAGATATTTCAAATATTATGTTTCCGAGTATGAAATTTCAAGATCTATCAAAATCAAGAAAAAAAAAATTGGGGTTGCTATTTAAAAAAATTGTCAATGACGTCACTGCCCAAAAATGGGAAGTGGGGGAAAATTAAATTTTATTTTAAAAATTGCGCTTTAAGTAAACAAAATTGACCTGTCCGAGCATTTTTTCGAAAAACCAACTACTTCCATTATAATGAATTTATTCCTTTCATTTGAACCATACTGTACATATATTCAGCAACCATAGCCAGAACTCTGGCATTTATATTGTCTATAACAGCAGAAGGTTTAGTAGTGGTTTTTTTCAATAAATTTATTACTTCTTCTGGGACTACTGATGTGAGAAAAAAATCCGTTAGTTTGAAATATTTAAGTTTCATTGTATCTAACATGCTCTTCATTCCTTATAGAATGTAAATAATGAACAAATATACTAATAGCCCAATAAGATGTAGTTTAGTAAGATAACTGTAAATGTAAACTGATAATAATGTATGCTCACAATTGATCAGTAAACAATAATAAACTTTATGTGTATATAAATAATGTAAAAAATATTAAATCTATACGATTGTCTCCAAAAAACTTATATAGCTATTAAAAAAACGATATATGGAGGTATCAGAAGCCAATCAGTGTAAGTCATCGTTTTGCTGAATATGACTTGTCACAGTTTTTGTATTAATACAAAGTTAATTTTTAAACTATTTAAATTTAGATTTTTTTTATATTTTCAAGAAAATTGTCTTATATGACTTTTCAATAAAAAAAAAATGTTATAAAGTTCTAATAATCATTTTTATTTATTTGTGTTATACTAAAGTTTCATTTACTTGCACTGAATGGCTTCTGAACCCTTCATATATTCATTTTTCAAATTTTGTTTAGAATAGTTAGTGTCACACTACTATTGAGACTGATATGTAATAATATTGATAACATTCCAATTTCGTCTTAATGTACATATTTATGAGTTATATAGGTTAATGGCCGTGTCTTACATTAAATAATATAATCAAATGTCATAGTAAATCATATCAATTTATTATGAAAATAGTAAAAACAAATTGATTACTTTTCATTTTTATTTCATTAATATAAACTTTGAATGCTTCCTGATTTTCTATATTAAACTTTTTTATAATTTTGTTTTAGTTCATAAAGAATGTCTTTTTCAGTTATGTGATACATATCCACAAGTTCTGTACATCCCAGGTAAGGCAAGCAACAGTATCTTGACTGGCAGCTCAAGATTTCGCTCAAAAGGCAGACTGCCTGTGCTATCTTATCTGTACAAAAACAAAGCAAGCATCAGCAGGTGTAGTCAGCCGCTGTCAGGGTTCAGTGCAAGATGTCTTGAAGATGAAAAGATGTTGAATCAAGTGTTGAAAACAAATCCTAATGCGACGTACATGTGTGTTGTAGATACAAGACCAAAAGTGAGTTTTTTTTTTTAAAAGTTAATAAAAAAAATCATTCTTTGTTGAATTTTAGATAAACGCTATGGCTAATAGAGCTGCAGGAAAAGGTTATGAAAATGAGGCTTTCTATGAAAATATAAAATTTCATTTTCTTGGCATTGAAAATATACATGTGATGAGAAATAGTCTTTCAAAAGTAGTGGAAAGTAAGTACAAACGATATTGTTTCAATATTTTAAAATTATTTTGCTCCAATTTGTATAAAAACGCGTCATTTATTCTTAATATACTACAAAAAAGTGTATCATGTTGTAATAAATTTCATTCAACACAAGTTGTTTTCATTGAGTAATAATAACATAGGTCTATCCATTACAGTAACTGCATTTTATTTATTTCAATACTATATACTAAATAAGAATTTCTGGATATTTTTTAACCTATACATAATTTTATTTGTGATATTCTCTATAATTTTTGTTCTATACATAATTTCTCTAAAATGGACTGTAATGGAAAAATTTGAGGAAAAGTAAAATTTTAAATTTTCAGAATGTTTGTTTCCAAAGAATATAACAAATGTTTCCAGTAAGATGTGTGTGGAAAAAGTATATATTTGTTTATCCTCTAAACATTTACAGGGGTGATACAATAAATTGTATAAAATAACCGGAAAAATCCTGTAATAACTAGAGGGCAGTCATGTTTAGACACAACAGATTTTTTTTTTTTAAGTTACAATTCACATATTTGATTAGATAACTCGCTTTGCATTTCACGATCGGGGTTCAATTCCCGAAGAAACCAATCTTTTTTTTTTCTTTTGTACTATTTTCTAATATTTTTTGTGCCTAATATTATGATACCTATTTACAATTTTTTTCTTAATCGCAATAGTACAAAATAAATAGCAGACAGATTAATGGTTATATTATGGATAGAATAGAATTTTATTAACTGTCACTACAATAAATAAAGCAGGTCACAACAGCATATAACTTAATACCCTCTTTAAAAAAAAAAAAAAAAACATAAATACATTTAAAACTAATACTAGTTACTGAACATAAATTACATTAGTTCAGTAATTGGATGAGTGTTCATCAAGTTCAACTGGAAAACCACTCCTAATATATTCCTGGAATTATAAAACGAAATCAAATATAATTTTTCAAAGTATTTTTGTAATTTAGATGACTTAAGGTAGTTATGTATTCAGGTTTTATATTAAATAAATTATAGCTGATGGAATTATGTACTGATATTGATAATCTGTATCTTGGCCTTTAACATAAGTACCATTTGGTGTATTATGTGAATGAACATTACCTTGCATTGGTAGTAGATAAATGTTTATGTATTTCAATTAAATTTGCATATACAGTTCTTAGTTTTATGAAAAAAAGTCATCCTTTATAAAAAGTTCTGCATGGTCCAAAACTTAAAATGCAACCATCAGATATCAATTTTTTAAGCTGTATACGAGGTTTCTTAAAAAATATGAATTTTACTCAAGAGCAAAGTACCTTTATTATATAATTTGATATTTGATGGTTGTATTTTAGGTTTTAGACCATGCTCGACTTTTTATAAAGAATAACTTTTTTCTAAAATTAGTAATAAAAAAGCTTTCCATATGCCACCAACTGTCTACGTAATGAAAAACTTTTTTATTATTAATATTGAGAAAAAGTAAGTAAAAAAATAACTAAATTTTTTAATGAAGGTCAGGATATTGATAGGAAATTTATTTATTGGTTTTTTGGTGTTATTATTAACTTTTATATTAACTATGTTTAATGACAATAACAAATAAGATAAAACTTTCTAATGCCAGATCTTAGATTATTTAGTGGTACAAAATTGATCGAAAATATTTGATCGAATGCATTTGATCGAAAAAACATTTTATCTAATAACAATTGATCGAAAAGAACAATGGTCAAAAACAAAACTGATCGAAAATAGATTTGATCGAAAAATCAAATATACATAAAATTAAAAAAAAAATAAAACAACTAATTTACCTTGCTTTTTTGCTTCGCAATATACAAGAAATTAAAAAAACTAAAAATGTTTAATTTATGCAAAAAGGACTATCAACAACTTTTACAACGCCTATGTAACAAACAATATGCAAGTAAGATTGGCATTTATTAGATTAGGATTCACAATTCTTTCCAATTTCTACATGTTAAGTTGTATAAACTTACTTCCCCTTGAGTGGCGCCTACTAAATATGATAAAATTTTCCAAAATGATAAAAACTTTTCTGAAAGATATTGTATTTTATAATATTAATGAATTTTATTTACATTTTGATTTGATTTATATACTGTAATGAAATTTTATGAGTTTTAATTTGTTATTTTGTAAACTATGTTAATTAATTTTAAATGAAATAAATCGATTTTAATACAGAATCGAATTTAATCGGGTGTTAAGAATAATAATACATAAAATGAAACGTATCGAATGAATGTCTATGTAGGAATGCCGTGCTTATCACCAAATATTCTTATGCGTCCCAGCCCGACGAAATATTACTAGCACTCGTGAGTCATGACAGGGTGGTCCTAACCTAGCGATAAGCGAAACATCCGAGTGGTTACACTTTAGTCCATATTATGTATTGTAGAGTTGTATTACTTATTGCAGTGAAATTGTAAATGTTTGTTTTTTAAGTTACTAGCCTTTATATTCGTAATATTGTTTTTAAAGAGAGTATACAGCTGGAATATTTTAGTCCTCTTTTCTAAATGAAACGTTCTATTAAACAATAACAAAAGGCTATTAACCAGATGTTTTTTATAAAACAAGTATTGTAGTTAGTTTACAACAAATCGTGCAATTTAAAAGTTGTTGGACTGTTTATAAGTGCGTACAGGTGATTTGCAAATTACTTTCATTTTTTAAAGGTCTACTTATATTTTTGTATTATCATCTGAGTTGGGCTGAATTTTGTCTCGTTTTTGTCCTCTATTTTTTAAATTAAACGTATCTACACCTATGATGATCGTAATAGTAAACTTAAGGCATTTCTTTATAAGCTTACCATTATAACTTACTAGATCATACTATAGTGATTATAACATTTATTTATACAGTTTGGTTTCTTCCATGACGTCATATGTTATCAAAGCATATAACTAGGTACGATTCAACTAAGAAAAAGCCACACACATCATACCTGGCAATAATTTGCCTCTCTCTCTCTGGTCCATCTCATTTAAGCGTCAGTGGCGTTTTGGCGATTTTTTAGTTTTTCTAATATAGAGATACAATTGCTTAATAATTTGGCAACGCTGTACGACTGCCGCATGGTCCAGAATATAATTCGAACAGAAGCTATCGCGTTAACATGGATCCCTTATTTGTGAGCCAAACTTCGGCGTTGCCAAGCTTTTACTTACGAACAAAAATACGGGTTCATCGGAAGAAAGTGAAGACAGCGAGAGTACTATACTCTGTTTTTAAAGTTGGATGAGCGAATTGAAAAGACGCATTTACACAGGGAAAAGTAACTAGATTTGTTACTAAGAGCGAGTTTCGAAATATAGTCGTGTTCAAAATTTATGAAATAATTATCTTTATCGGCCTTAGTCGGCGAACGGCCAATGAGCGGTTAAGAAACGAATAAATGTCATAGAAGTAATTTTTTAATTGGTCCCAGACAACGGTCGCACCATTCACTGTTGGGTTCTAATTAACAGTGCTGTTCCTAAAGTGGCGCTGGGAAACAGTAACAAAGCCAGAACACGAGGCTAATGACCGTAGTAGTCGACGCCGATGACACCAAATTAATAAAAAAAAAACAAAATAATGGATGATATCAAATTATAAAATGTCAGAACTGTCAACAATATCAATTATTAGCTGATGTTCATGCTAAAAAGTAATGTGTGAAACTGACTGTAATCTGACCAATCAGAAGGCTACAGAATTGCCAACTTAAATTCAAATCGCTCCTCTTAGTTTAAAAACAGAGTATAATAGTTCATTAACAATCGAACTAGGATGTACTCCTCTAGTTTCACTTTTTGCACTAGTTGCATAAATAACTATTATTTTAATTGTAATAAAAATCTTAAATTACAAAATTGTGTTGCTATTTTTATTTACTTCCCACTGAATGTTTTGCAAGTCTTAAGTCGAAAAATATATGTAATGTTATTTTAGTTTAGTTATTTAGGTAATATACAAATGTTTAAATCATTAAAATTTAACTTTTTAATCCAATAAATGTTTTTTGTTGGGAAACTGCTTTAATTCTTATTTAAATAAGAGCCTACGCCACTGGTATATCGATCTGGAGCAACGGAGAAGGAATATTTTAAAGTGAGGCAGACGATGACTAGTTGATGACGCCCGTGGCTTTTTCTAAGTTGAATCGTACTCTACTACTTCTAACCACGTCGGTTATGTGGTAAGGTACACATTTAAACACATCTAGCATGCGCAAAGTGAAAATCAATTTTTGGTAGGATTCCCCACTCGACCATTCACTGTTGGGTTCTAATTAACAGTGCTGTTCCTAAAGTGGCGCTGGGAAACAGTAACAAAGCCTACACAGAACACGAGGCTAATGACCTTAGCAATCGATGTCGATGCCGATGACACCAAATAAAAAAAAAAGATAATTTTTTCTGTGATAAGGGTTTATTTGATCATTTTTGTATTTACTATGAAAGAAATTTTAAATACAGGATACTGAAATAACTAGAGATATTAAAACAATAAAGTGGAAATATATTTTAACACTAAAACCTTTTTTTCTTTTGTTGGAGGATACATCATTTTAAATAAATAACAAAATCGAAAGATCCTAAAATATCTTATAATTCTAATTTGGTTTAGAAATCCCTAACTTAAATTAAATTTGACATATATGAAGTTACACATTTAAAGTTACTACATTATGTGTGTCGTCAACAGAGTAACTAAAATACTGTTACCAAGTATGTTGTAGTAAGCTTATAAAGTAATTCCTTTCTATTTGGTTTGAAATTCAGAGATGTACTATAAAATATTATGAGTATTAAAATGTGCATCCTCGTGCGAATTGGCAAAAATTTATTTAGGGCTAAAAATTAGTAAATGATGTATACATATCGGTGCAATATTATTTTTGCTCAAATATCATTGGTTGGGCTAACATCACGGTAAATAAATTGCTGTAACTACCGAAGGGATATGATGCAAAAGGGTTTGTTAGTGGTGTATTTTTAATGTACTCGTATTTACCTTATACATAAAATTTTCTTAATAACAATTTTCGATATTATTAAAAATAAAGGTACTTTACTCTTGCATAAAATTCATAATTTTCGACAAACTTCGTACACGACTAAACAAATTTGATACCTGGTAATTTCATTTTAGTTTTTAGACCATGCATAAAACGCATCGCAAATATTTCCGCCGGAGATTCCCGTCGCTCCAGCGGGAAATCCTTTCCGATCTTCGTCGAATCCGTTCCGTTCCGAAGCCGTTCAACCGACTGCTCAAGATCCTTACTTACATGGTACTATAAACGATAGAACTTATTGAAAGTATTAAAGGCGATGTAATCTGTATAGAAAAATAATAGGTGTAGTGAATAACCACTTTTTGTATTTAAATTTCTCGATGCGTTAAAATGGCAGTAATGGTAAATTAGTTCTGAAATATTTTTCGATAGTAAAAAACAAAATTTTGTGAATAGAATGATAAAGTATAACTTTAAACATGGTAATAGAAAAACAATTGTAAACTACCTTTAAATAAAATACTAAAACAGTGTTTATAGTACAAAGATCATAATAACTAATCTAATTGTGTTTAATACAAAAATATATATATATATATATATATATATATATATATAAGCTACACAGCAATTAGCAGACAATGAAGACCATTTTCCTAGCGATAATCACTATGATTTATTCCCTCAAAAATGTGTTTAATTTCTTGTGTTTTGTTCGTCTTAATAGTGTTAATATAAACACGTACACCCTTGAAGATTTCATCTCGAATAGTGAACATTCTTGGGAATTTCTATCGATTACAGTTTACATAAATATGTCCCAATTTTGACGCATTTGAAGGGTTTTGGGTACTTTCTAGATTCTAAGGTAAATAGATGAAAAAACAAAAAACCGAAAACCTTTGCAAGTATATGAGTGCATCAGCAGTACATAACGATGCAATCGTTTTTTTTAAACTTCTTTGGGGGGGGGGGGGGGTAAATTCACAAAGAAATCGTCGTAACTACTAAAACAGTTTAATTGGTGGTGCATATGAGTGCATCAGGAGTGCATACTGGTGCAATATTTTTTTTGTGAAAAAATCATTGGGTAAAAAAATCACGGTAAAGAAATAGCTATAACTACTAAAGGGAGGGGGTGCAAAAAGTTTTCTTGGTGGTGCATATGAGTGCATCAGGAGTGCATACCGGTGCAATAGTTTTTTTTTTGCAAAAAAATCATTGGGGGGCTAAATTAACGACGAATGAAAGAAATCGTTATAACTACTGAAGGGAGGGGGTGCAAAAAGTTTAATTGGTGGTGCGTATGAGTGCATACCGGTGCAATATTTTTTTTTGTGAAAAAATCATTGGGTGGATCAACTTCACGGTAAAGAAACAGCTATAACTACTAAAAGAAGGGGGTGCAAAAAGTTAATTAGTGGTGCATATGAGTGCATGACAAGGGCTAACTAGTGCAATACAGTACGTCTTAAAATTTTTACTGGGGAGGGGGCAGCGTTCATTTGCCCCCCCCCCCCAAATAAATATCTGTAGTTGTTCAATGAAGGTGGTGCAAAAAATAAATAGTGGTGCATCACTAGTGCAATAGTTTTTTTATCAAAAATATCATTGGGGGGTGGCAATTTCACTACCTCATCTAATTGTTACTGTAGTTATGATTTAACGGGAAGCACCCTCAACTTACGGTTTGACAGAAAGTACCCTCAACTTCCGATTTGACAGAAGGCACCCTCAACTTTTATTTAAATGGGATATACTGTATTTTTGAAAATTTTAAGAGACTTTGTTCTTTCGAATTTGTCTATACTGAATTTAATATGAACATCTCTAAAAAAAAAAAAAATTTAATTCTTTTTGAGGATCTTTTTTTTTTCGATTAATGTAACATATTTTATTCTAGCATGCGAACAAAGGAATCCAACGATGGCCAGTTTCTTAGGCGGCTTAGAATCTAGCGGTTGGCTCAGACATATAAAATCAATATTAGACACGTCTCTGTTTATATCCGAGTCTTTACTCGAAGGTATAAGTGTACTAGTTCATTGCTCAGACGGTTGGGACAGAACTGCTCAGGTCTGCTCATTGGCATCTATTTTGTTGGATCCGTTTTATAGAACACTATCTGGATATCAGGTAAATAATATGATTCATCTTAGATCTAGCTTATTCAACAACTATTTATCCATTCTTAGATATAGGTATCTCTCTGTTTGTTGATATTTTCGATATCATCTGCGACTTTCCTATCTCTTTTTGTCTCTAGTTCATCATTCAGGCAATTATCTTACCATCTACCTTTGGTTTCAAGAACACCTTTATTTCTTTATTTTATTCAATAAGTTTTCTACGTTCTTGACAAAACTTTTCTTTATGAGTTAATAATTATTGATTTATTTCAGACTCTCATTGAAAAGGATTGGTTAGCTTTTGGGCATAAATTTTCTGAACGATGTGGGCATATACAAACGGAAAATAAAGAAATGTCTCCTATATTCACACAGCTATTGGACGCTACATGGCAGCTAATGCAGCAGTTTCCAATGTCGTTTCAATTCAATGAAACGTTTTTATTTACTTTGCACGATCACGTGCATTCCTGCCAGTTTGGGACATTTGTTGGTAATTGCGAGAAGGACAGAGTCGAGATGAGGTAAACAATCAGTTTGAAATTATTTAATTATTATCTGAATGTATGTCTCTAAATTATTATTTATCCATCATGTCAATTTCCTGTAAAATATACGTTTCTGAATCAATATTTCATTTTTAGATTATCAGAACGAACTTACTCTTTGTGGGGATACATGGCCAATCATCTAAATGAATATCTAAACCCCTTGTACAGCACAGAAGAGAGCCCTGAGGTGCTTATACCCAATTTGATACCCCAAAATATCAAGTAAGTTACGTAGATTTATTCTTATTACATAATTTTAAAAGCAGATTTGCTTTTTTGATTCTTTTTTGGTCTTTTGTAGATTTTGGAGAAGCATGTACTGCAGATTTGAAAGCGGAATTCACCCAAGAGAACCTCAAGCTGACTTACTGCTAGTCACTTCCGATTACGTATTTTCTTTAGATGAACATGTCAAATATTTAACAAAGGTAAAATAAGGATAGCTATTTAGGTACTAAGTAAGCACATAATAAAAAAGTTTATTTACATAAAAGTTTATTTAAATAAAAAATGTAAAATTTAAAAAATAACCATTTAAGTTTAGAACTAAAAAACAGTTTCATACTAACATTACACGCAACTTTTAACTAAACAGAACGTTTTTTTTTACCTTTCAGAGATTGTCCTCTGTGAAATCTCTTATAACGAGAACGGTAGATAAAAAGAAGAACAAACCAAAGCGAGATCAATTGTGCAACAACGTTTATTTGGACAACAAAATGGAATACGAGAAAAAGGCTTCCAAGGAAATGCAGAGCGCCGATCAAGATCATCCTCTAAAGAATCAAAATAAATCCGACGATTTGCTAGACATGGATCTCCTTGTTAAAGAAATCGATTCTGTTGCTGTCGATTGGAAGCTGCTGAGGACTGCTACTGAATGCAGTTGTTCTTTGTCTTTGGATCAATTGAGTAAAAAGGTAGAAACCTCTTTGTAATATGTAATTTGTAACTTGGATAACCACATACACAGGTACACAAAAAGTCACATGTGTAACATTAAGTTCCGTCTTTAATCCCCTTTTGTTTTCAATCGATTTTTCAAACCTTTATGAATTATTGAAGCTTGTAAATACACATTATTTTACTGAAGACACGTAACTATATTATTCCTTTGATCCAGGTGAAGTAGATATACCTTCGCAAAGCAAATTCTAAATACTGTATATACATTTTCTATGAATCATAACCTATTTTGCCTTACAAATACAGAACATAATGTACAACACAACTTAACCCTGTTGAACGAATGAAGGATCTTAGAAATTTGTTCTAGTATAATTATAAATTATCGTCCTTCTACCCGAAGTCAAAAGGGTGGCTTTAAGGAGATTTGAAGGAGTTGAGATGGATAAGAATTTGTGTGTACTGACGAGAATCGGAATCTGATTGAGTTCAAATTTGCGAATTCTGGAATCAAAACGTATGCTGATAGCTCAATTGGCGTATAGACAGCTCAAGTCAGAGGCTGAAGCACTTATTCTTTTCTTTAATTCTGACCTTTTTCAATTTTCCTTTTTCTCCAGAAATTGCTTAAGTTAGTCATTCAAAATAAACCTCAAACATCATGTAGAAGCGCTAAATATATATTTGTAGTTGTCACATACGAACCCCGTAAATACATATGCAAGATACTATCTGAGGCCCGGTTTTTACATGTGCTTTATATATTACAACCCAGACAGCACATCAAATCCTTTGGATATCTACTTTACATCCCAATATCCACTGAATGTCCAGTCCATGGTGGATATCTATTTTATATCCATGAGATGTAATTTATAGACATACAAATGTCCATAAATAATAGTAATTATATAGCAAATTATTAAAAAATTACGCCATTGTGGCTAATAGTACCGTTCAGATATTTAAAATTAATTTTTTTAAGGTGTATTCAATATCCCATAGACGTCCACTAAATATATCAAAGTCTAGGCGCGAACGCAAACCATAGATGTAATTTTTGTTTTTGCCCACTAAGAAGAAAGTCATTCTTGACCGGTTTCGTCCTTATTAGGACTAGAATTATTTCCTTTTTTAAGAATAGCCCGCCTTGCTTTTATTCCACCTAGTCTCAACTAGATACTACAGCGACCTTTGATTTTGCTTACTAAGTATAGATGGCGATACCACTTTCGCTCGTTGAATATCTACTCATGCTCAACCCGCCGTAATTGAGTACGACCGAAATTGGTATTGCAATCAGACTCCATTAGAGACTGGAGTCCAGAATTTGTATTTATTGCAAAAGAGTCCTAATAAGGACGAAACCGGTCCAAGAATGTCACATTTGAGTTTGGAATTATTTCCTTTACTTATGGACCTCTACTAAAAATACCCATAAAATATTTTGCTGAATATCCATAGAATATCTTCTATATCCTGGATATAGACGGACATTTGGATATCCATATTAGATCCACTGAATATCTATAAAATATCTTATGGATATATTGGATATCCACAAAATATACTCTGTAGATATCTCTGGGATTTCTTGTATTGTCTGGGAGATACCCATTAGATATTTTGCTGGATATCTTCTATATTCTTGATATAGACGGACATTTGGATATCCATATTAGATCCACGGGCTATTTCTGATATCCTGTGGATATATCGGATATCCACAAAAGATATTCTGTGGATATCTCTGGGATTTGGTGTTTTCTGGGAAGCAAATAGAGGCATTTTATTATTATTAAGATAAATATAAATTGATAGGGTAAAGATATGGAGATATTGCTGGTCATTCAATGTGAAGTCTTCCAATCCAACTATTATTACAAAATTTAATTTAAACATAAACTTAACAAGTTATTATTTTTCAGATGCATTGCAGAAAATGTGGAGAAATATTCTGCCAGCGTTGCATAACGAAAAAGATTGTTCTTCCTGGACACAATTCTCAGATACCTGTACCTGTGTGTAAGCCCTGCTTTGATACCGTTGCCACATCTGCACAGACTTAACAAATATACTACTAGTGACAAACTGGTTGAAAAACACAATGTTGTGATTATTTCCATGAGTTTGTATTCAACTATTTTTTTTATTGAATACTACAGTTTCCTTTCAATGAAAGAAATTCTTTTCAATTGTATGTTCAACTGATACCAGATTGTTTTATACAGGGCCTGTAAAAGTAGTTAATGAGTTCAATAACTGCAATTCTTGGACCCTAATGGAAAGTAGCATTACAGCGATTCACTAACAGTTTTTCCAAAATAATTAATGCAATTTTCAATTAATTTTTACTACCAATTTGTTAAACAAGATGCTTTGGTATTCTGATTACTTTTATCATTGATTTTTGATTTTCTGGCGCCTATTATAAAATTATTAACTTTATTAGTCAGTGATTTTTACAGGCTCTGTATCAATAGACAAATATTTTAATACCAAAAAATGTACTCTCTAAAGTATTGAAATACTGTGGCAAGTATTTTATGTGTTGAAATTAATATATCTTATATTTGTACACATTTATCATTAAACTGTGATTTTTTTACTAATCATTCCTTTAAGATTGTAAAACTTTTTGTTAGGATGCTTTTGTAAACATTTTGATTTTTGTTTATATTATGTAAGTGTTGAACATATATTTTTGTGATTTTAATTGTTTTCATGCAAAATGTATATGTATGAAAATAATCTATTGCTTGAACTGATAAATATAAAAAATCAATAAGTGTGATCTTTTAGACATTCATCTGTATATTATGGTGTCTGTAGATAAATGTTTACTTTTATTAATTCTAAAAATAGGAAATTAAAAGTTGCACTTTGTTTTATTTATTAAAGTCTATATATATACTGCAATAAATATATATTTTTAGGGTCATCCCCTTACACTATTAGTTTTATTTCACTGTCCTATAAAGTCTAGAAGTACTTTTCTTCAAAATTAATCCACAATTTAGGTTATTACATGTTTCATATTACATTTCATATGTATGATTAATATATAAAAAATCTATTTTTTAGTCTTCGATGGACCTCCTAATTCTTCCAATTCTTGCTTAAGAGTATTTAATTCTAAGTCGGGAATATATCTAATTTCTTCATCGGATTCTTGATGAGGCCGAATTTCTGCAGACACTCCAGATGGCAAGCTTGCCTCTATTGCTCTTATAACAATTGGAAGCTGAAACAGTAAAAATAATAAAAACCATTAGTTGGTAAATTATTTATTTTATTACTTGGGTAGATGAGAGATCATTTACTTGAATTATTCGTTCATACAATTTAAGATTATACAGAGCGTGTACAAGTTCACTTTTTGGTTTATATGTTGTTACATTTAGTTCCTGGGCAGGTATTGCCCAGGAATCTTCTACATCAATTTCCATATTTTTTAATAAGTTATGCACAAATTTTTGATAATGTTCCAAAATTGGATAATCGTATCCTTTGAGTAGAATATTTAATTGATCATATAAAGGTATTTTAGATTTCATTGCCTACAAAAAAATTTTTAAAAAATAAAACTCCTTTAAGTAAAATAGATACCTCTAAGTAAGGAGGTTCATAAAGTCCTCCACTTTGATATCGTTTTGAATAAATATTTTTTGTTCCAAACAATGTTCGTCCCATTAAATGTAGTCTTTTTGTATGTTGCATTTTCTAAGAAAAAAAAACCAAAATTTTGAGGTTAGGTTAATCGTTAATGAACTTCACAGAACACTTTTTGATGAATTTGACATTGACGTTCCTCTCTACGTTTGTCCGTTATTGGGGTAACACATCCGTGTTAAAACAAAAATGATATTGGGTGCTATGATTGAACGTTTACGTTATCCGTAACGTACATGTTAGGCCGAATTTTAAAAGTAACGAGGCAAGTTCGGATGATGGAAAACTGTTAAATTAGAAGATAACAGGCGGAAAATAACAGTAACGTGTTGGAAAAAGTTGTCCATCATACGAACTTGCCTCATTACTGTTAAAACTCGGCCTAACATGTACGTTACGGATAACGTAAACGTTCAATCATAGGACCCATTGGGTCCTATGATTGAACGTTTACGTTATCCATAACGTACATGTTAGGCCGAGTTTTAACAGCAAAGAGACAAATTTGTATGATGTAAAGTCTTTCATAACACATTACTGTTATTTTCCGCCTGTTATCTTCTAATTTAACAGTGTTCCATCATCCGAACTTGCCTCGTTACTTTTAAAATTCGGCATAACATGTACGTTACGGATAACGTAAACGTTCAATCATAGGACCCATTCTGTATACACAAATTTTAGAGACATGTTAAAAATTATTTATTTTAACGGATTCCCTTAAAAATGGCAGCAGAATACTTGAAAACATCGCATTTAAGATTTATTTGAACTAGTTTGAAAACAACCATATAAATCCTCAATTTTCAATTCAAAACCGTTAAACGGGGTTATGATCGACAAGTAATGTTATTTTTAACAGACACGTTATTTGTGAACAGGTTGTTATTTCTGTGTGTTTATAAAATAACAGACCTGTTAAAAATAAAACAGAAATAACAAAAATAACATTCCGGGTGGTGACGCAATTAAAATAACCGTTATGTAGTAATTAGGACAAGCGCCTAGCGCCCAAGAAATCAGAATTCCTCCATGGCTAGATTTTGACAAGTATCTTGGCTGCTGTCAAGGTCAAATCTATTTTACATATATTGGCGCCAGTTTTAAAATATAATGGTAAATCGTACTAAAATGTTATTTATAGACTGGTAAATTTATATTAAACATTGAGCATAAATTTAAAACAAATATTATAAAAGAGCTTCTAGGAGTTTATTTTTATCAAATGTTTGTTATATTATAAGACGAAATAACTTCTTCTGAAAGCCATTTTAAAAGAAGATATTCATGTAAAAATTTGAAAATTGTGAATATTGTTTTAGATGGGTTGGTTTTCTTGGAAAATTTTTGTAAAAACTCTTGTTGGATTCGTCTACTTTGGAACATTTAACATTATATATATATCAATCAATACTTTGTATGATTGTGCCCTCATAATAAAGGCCTTTATTGTCATTAAAAACACATAACATTAATACAATAGCTTTGTTTGTAAAAAACTCTTTTTGTGTTCTTAATTTATAGGGAGATGTAACAATAATTTATTATGTACACTTGTTAGTTTTAAGTTTGTACATTTTATCTAAAGTGTAAAGATATTTCACCTGTTAATACCTAATAATAAAAAATAAATTTTTAATATGAACAAGTTTTGTTTCAAAACTTTTAATAAAAAAGGGTATTATTTAAAATTGTTTTATTTCATATCAAAAATTGCCTCCCTACAATTCATCCCCTTAGAAGTGAACCCCTGAATGAAGAGTTAGTGATTTATTCTAATTAATTTAGATTTTATTACTTTTCTAACAGATATTGTTAAAAATACAGAAACATTAAATCTGTATAGGATAATTTATAGGATTTAGGTCCATAAAGTAAAAACACAGAAGTAAAAATTTAAAAAATATATATTTTGTAACTTCAAGTTGAATTATTCAAAAGTGAAATTAATACGCTTTGAGCTTCCACAGATGTTGGCACTCTTATAGATCGTGTGCTTATTTTTTGTTTATATTTTCTTGTTGAAAATAATCTTCTCTGACCAATTATTTTTTTGTTGTGGGGCACTGGCTTATTTTCATTCTGTGAAAACTTGTAATTCGCTTTAACAGCTTCCCAAGTTGGTTCAAATGGTGTAATAATTTTTTCAAATTCATTTAGCTCATTTGGTGCATTTATATTGTCCAGAATATTTACCATGTTTAGTAGTTTCTGTTTGATCTGTTCCTTTTTTTCTCTGAACCAATGTTCGTTTTTTGTTTTATTTGAAGTGGCAATTTCTGCAACAATCTGCTGTTGTTCCAAAACATGTTCATTTATACTTATGTGTGACTGAACATGAACTTCTAAAGGTACATCTAAAAATAGATAAAACAGTAATAACAGAGTTTGAGCCAATTAGCAAGTGTTATACAGATCAATATTTTCCTTGATTGAAAGAAACAAATCAAAATTATTTTTTTTACAAATTTTGTTTAATAAAAATACTTAAAAACATCAAAAAATATAAAAAAAAGTCAAATTGTATTGCAGAATGGATTGTCAATGTATGTTAGTACTTCTTGACATTAAGAATATACCTATGCTTTGTAACTTTTAGTTACTAAAACAATTGAAACTTCCATTGGGGTATTACAAATAGTTTAATAACCTTACCCATATTTGTTACTTGTGGAACATCATTTAGTTTCCATGTTTGGCACAGTAAATGAATATGTTTGCACATGTTCCATTTGATGCAGTGGTCAATACAGGAGCATGTATATTTGTGGATACAACTTTTACAATTAAGGCAGACTAATTGGCATTGACAATCTCTAAAATCTTTGTTTTCTTGTAAGTAATACATTGAACAAATATTATTTTTTGTAGTCTTGATTTCCCAACCAATTTCTGTTTTTATCAAGAGGTCTTTGTCCAACTCAAGACTTTTTTTATGACGGGAACGTATATCCTTCAACTTAGAAGAAATTTTGCCTTTGTTTAAAACTATTAAGCGATCAAAAAGTTTGTCTCTGACAAACTTCATTAAAGCACATATAGCTTTATCTAAACGTTTGACGGTTTTTCCTTTTAAATAAATATGTTTTAAAATCTTATGCATATTTTCAATATGCATATTTGTATTGATTCCGGCATATGCTCTATAGCAATATGCCCAGTTTTGATATCGAGGTATGTAATAAGTTTGAAAGTAGTTTCCAAATTCCTCTGTATCTGGATCTTGAGCTAATATATTCAGAAATTCTTGTAGTATTTTGAGAAATGTTTCTTCTTCCAGTTCAACTAATATTGTTCTTAGTTGTTTGTACACTAAAGCCTAGAAAAAATGTATTAGATAATTTAATAAAAACAACAATATCCAAGAACATACCTGTTTTTCCTGTGATTTTATTTTCTTTAAATTATTTCTCCAGGCTCTGTCAACATGCCAGGTACAAAATAGTCTAAAAAATCAAAAACACTGTGTAAGTATATATGTATATATCAACTAGAAAATGTACAGAAATATTATAAAAGTAATTTTTTTTTAATTTTATATACAGTTTCATGTAGAATACTAGAACTTATTTAGACATCTAAAAATCTACCAATAGCTTTTTTTTTGTTAAGAGAGTAAGTTAACTAAATTTCAATTTTAAAAAAATATTTACCTATATTGTGCAGCACCCATTATTTGTAGCCAGGCATTATAAAAACATTCTGCCATATCTGACATGAAGACTTTGCTCTGGAGACATTCTGTTCGATCCCTTATACAACTGAAAAATACTTTTAGAACTTCTTCATCAATTCTGTTTGATATTAGGAAGGCACAAGGGAAGCCTTGCCGCATATCATCGAGCACCATTACTGTTACCAGTTCAAAGCCATAACTATTTAAACCATGGGTACTGTCTATGCAAATGGAATCTGTACCATATTTCTTTAATAGCTCACACTGTGCCTCATTCATGATGATTAATACAAAATCATTGGGTTTGAACTGATTGTATTTCTCATCTAACTTTTCTTGGGGTTTATAGTAGAGCACACAATTTGTGGTTTCCTGCATTTCCAAAACCCAAGACTCTATGCTTATGGCATCATTAGCATGCCTAACAGAATCATAATTTAAATTGTATGAACACTCAATGTTATATAAGTCTTTACGAGTCACCAAATGTATTCTTTCAATTTCATCATTAGAAACTGATGAACGAATACTATCAAGTATGGTATCAAAGGGAATTTTTGATGCTATTTTAACCGCAAGTTGTTTTCTCTCTTCTGCTGTTAAATAAAGATGACCTAAATCATTTGTGTGCCCTACATGCTTTAGCATGAAAGTGGCACTGCATTTTCCTTCTTCATCCTTAAGGAATTTTATATTCGCTGGACAAAATGCACCTATTTTATCACTTCCTTGTGTTTTCAAATGTCGAATCCCATTCCCTTTAGATGTAAATAACCCAGAACGATGGCACTCATAATGTATATAAGTTTTACCAGAATTCAATTTTGAAAATACATTTACATATTTGCACTTTGACGTTCTTTCAATTTTCATTTTCCATTCGTTAAAGTCAACACTTGTTATAAAACTGCGATATTCAGGAACAATCTCAATATTATGATCCTCTTGAAAATGGGTCAGAAGCACTTTTTTTGACTGATTACAATACATACATAAAGGGCATTTACGTTTATTATTTACATTGTTTTCCTGCGTAATTTTATGATTTTTTTCGTGAAATGTTAAATGATGTTTTTTGTTAAAGTTTTTTCCACAAACCATGCATAAAAATTGGTAATTTGAATTATTTTTATAAGTTTGTGTCACTAATTGAGTTATTTTATCAGGATGTTTCTTAATGACATGTCTTTTTAAATTCCAAGTGTTTTTAAAAGCAATATTACACTCTGAGCAAGTTATGGTCATATTAATTTATCATAAATATGTAAGAAACAAATAATTATTTAAATAATTTTCGTAAACTAGACTCACACTCACAGGTTATAATTTAGAATGACATTAGCGCCGAATGACAAATGACAGAAGACCGGATGGAGGAATTTGTGATTTCTTGGGCTCTAGTCGCTTGTGTAATACGGCATTCCAACGACCTGTCAAACAATAGGTGCCAGTGGGAAATTCTTGTATATTTAAGGGGGTAGCGACATAGTCTTGCAACTTGGACGCTATTTTTATTCGAAGTAGTACTCGCCAAGCCTGCCAATTTATGAAGAAATGTATAGGTGGGTTTTTTAAATATTATTTTTATTGTGTTTGACATAAAATATTTAAATGTAATCCATTATTCATGATTTTACGTAAAGTAGATAGAATACACCATATGTCGCCACCCTTAGATATACCAAACCTGCCCACTGGTAATTCATTTGTTTGGAATGCCTAATTGCTCGGTGGTTATTATCGCTAAAAAATGCCACTTTTTTACGATGTTAAATGTCGTATGTCATCGCTGTCAGTAGTAATAAAATTTATGTCAAAATAAGTTTATGTTTTATGCTTTTTTATGTCGTATAGATGTAAACATGAACAAGTACGTGTAGCCAGTGGGCATGAAATTTATAGCGAGTAGATTATAACTCATTGACCTTATTTTTGTTTTATTCTCTTAATTTAACGCAAATAATTATGTTTAATTTATGGTGAGATAAGGTGGGTCCAAACCAGCGCTTCCGTTAGCTGTATGAAACAATTACTGGTGTTTTTTGCAGTTAACAATTGAAGTTGTCCTGATGAATAGAATAGATTCAAACAAAATGAAAGATCAACAGTCAACCAACACTATTTATTACGGAGTATACACTCCGAATGATAATAAGGAGTACAATGGTACACCAAATGTGTTTGATGATAAAACAGAAGCTTTGAAAGTTGCTAAAAAGAACAAAAAGTCAAGATTTAAGGCCTTCCAATTTTATCATGAAGCTGTGGAATTTGCCTTAAACGGGTCAGAGTTTCCCAATAATAATAGTAATGCTAACAATTCTTTTGGTCAAAAGTCCATCTCAGAATCATCAAATACTGTTGGTGAAAAAGCTAGCCCTTTTAAGGGACCAAAACCACAAGAATTTATAGAATTAAGGAAAGCTATCGAAAATGGCAATTTTAAAATGGTGAAAGATACTATATGGCAGAATCCTAGGTACCTCGTTAGCAGTGGAGATACTCCAGCTATATTACAGGTTTATTTGATATTTTTCTGCATTTTAACAATGTTTTTAATATTGTTTTTATGATTTGTATGGCAGATTGCCAAAGTTTTGATACTCTGGGTTAGCCAAGTTTAAACAGCTGATTTTTATTTGCAGTGAATCGTATTTTTCCAATTGATTAATATTACTATTAAAAATAGCTAAACAACAAATATTAGCATTTCCTTTTATTCAAGTACTGTCTCTTTGTTAATTTTATAATAAAAAAAATATCTTAAAACATCTACTAAAATTTAATTATTTAAGTACATTACCATTCTTTTTTTTAATAAGTAAAATAAAATTCCTGCTTTATACTTAGGTAAAAAAATGTTTGTAATTGTTTTGAAGTTATTTTTTATTGCTTTGTTAGATTAAAATTTGGCATTTTAGGAAAGTATAGATTCATTATTTTTGGGGTTATTCCATTTTCCTACAATATTTATAAGAGTGTAATCAGATAATATTCTATTATTATGTGCAAAACACCATATTAACATTTTATAAATTAATTAATAATTGTTCATACATTTTGTAAGTTTTACCAGAACTAACAATGTTATAGCATATAAAAAAATACCTATATATTTTTAATTATGAAAAATCAACTGTGACAAGTACTGTATAAAAGCTCTGAACAAAGATTCAAACTAAAACTTAATAAATTTTCACGCCCTCCTGCCATTCTCTGATCCCATAAATATGCATGCCAAAGATCATAAAAAAGAATCTTTAAAATAAGCCCTGAAACTTGAAATTACTTTAGTATCAATTTCAGTACATGAATAAAGCTATTTAATATTTTTTTAATATACTTTCAACAATATGGACATTTAACTTTATTAGTATCAAGCCTTTTCTATAGAATCTTGTATTATTGGGCAATAAAGTATACAGATTTGATATTTTTAGGAAGGGCCACGTTATAATGCACTACACATAGCAGCAAAATCTAAGAATGCAGAAATTACTGAATTTATTTTGAGTACAATTTCAAATCCTGAATTCATTAAACTATTATATGGTGATGATAATCAACAAAATGCAGAAGAAAGAGCAAATGTTTTGTTAGATCTTTATTTAAACACTCCAAATAAGGGTTTAAATGAAACTCCCATTCATTTTGCTTCTAAACATGGAGCTCCTGACGTCGTAGAGATTTTAGTCTCTTATCCACAATGTGATAAAACTTTGAAAAATAGATTTAAGAAAACTCCAGACCAAGTAAGTCAAGTTCAATTGACTGGTGGAAGTTTGTTTTCTTATAATATTAACTAGTTTTATATCAAAAACTAAAATAATGATTGTAACTCTCATATTATCCTGACAAGAATTGTTTGAATGATTGAATTTAATCTAAAGATTACAAATTATTTTAGATTATTTGTGAACGAGCTGAAGGTGAAAATGTCGCAGCTGCCAAAAAAGCCATAGAGCTTTTACTTCATGATAACTACTATGTGCCAGTGTTGAGAGCAGAAGACAACAGCTTGCCACCTCTGATAGGGGAACCATTTTCAACAACTAGCCCTCCAGTAAGTAAAATAATAAAAATCATACCCGATTCTGAGAAACATTTTTTGTTAAATTAAATTTTATAGTTTAACATTTCTATTTTATCATATGGCAACGTTCCCATTAATTAACTAATTGCAGTCCAATACCTAGGAAGGTGTCATAAAAACCTGATTGACTCACCTAGGACTCAGTGGCGGCTGGTGGATCACTGCTGCAGAGCTCCCAAAAAAATGCTAAATACATAATCTAACTCAAATATTTCCTATTACCAAAAAGAAAATGTATAAATTATATTCGCATTGTAATAATGTTTAAAAATATCTGTTGGCGAAGCGTCGGCATTGCTGGCGGCCGTGTATGTAAAGTCGACCTGTGGAATAATCTACCTACCTACCTACCAACACACACGTTTGCACAGGCTGTCGCTAAACTATTATTTATCTGGGCCACATGATGAAGCTCTGTGTGCTCTTTCAAACACCCGCGCAGCACTCCGCTACCCCCGCGCCCATAGTTAAAACATACCGGTTGTTAAAGTGGAGAGTTTGCTGCAATTTGTCTAGCTCGGCGTGTAATACATATGGTGTCAATTTTTTCGAATTTTTTCGCGACTTTTGAGTTTACGGCGTTTACGGCTAGTTAAAGCTAAAAACAATAATTTTAATGGGTGCGTGTATTGTGCTTTTGTGTATTATGACAATTATCTGTGTCCTATGAAAGTGGTCTTTAATTTAATTAACGTAAAGAAATGTTTTAAATATACATACGAAGAAAAGATGGAATTAAAAGCAAAAGGTAGGCCATTCCCATTACCAGATATAATTATATAAATAACTGGTGTAAGTAGAGGAAAAAGCTACACACGAAAATTTAATAGAGATATTTATTTAAAAAGCGAATGGGTCTGTGGATGCAACAAAAAAAATGCTTGTACTGTTTTCCCTGTTTACTTTTTGGTGGCGATAAAGCTTGGACAGAAATAGGGGTCACCAATCTAGTACACTTAAGTTTAAAGATAAAAAAAAACGGAAACTCTAAAAGCCCTCTTCATAATTGCATGGAATTTGCGTTGCTAGGGACAACTAATATGGCTCAATTAGATTCTGCTTATTGGTTAAATATACAGAAACATAATGAAAATGTGTCAAAGAATAGGTATATTTTATCCAAAATTATTAATTGCATTAAGTTTTGTGGAGCTTTTGAACTGGCTCTTCGGGGACATGATGAAAGCGATTTTTCCGAGAATCCGGGAATATTTCATGGACTCATAAATTTCTCGGCTGAATTTGATGCAACTCTAAGTGCCCACCTAAAAAATTCTTCGGTATAGAACGATCTGTTACAGTGTATGCTCAATGGCTGTCATGAACAAATAATTGAGGAAATTAATAATTCTCCATTTTTTGCGATCATGGCGAACGAAACAACGGATGTTGGTGCAAAAACTCAACTGGTAGTTATATTTAGATATGTTCGCAATGGTGAGCCAATTGAACGTTTTTGGAACTACTTAATTGCTGAAAAATGTGATGCAGAAACACTTAGTAAAATAATTTTAACTGTTATAGATCCTTTAATTTAGAATTCACTGAACAAACTGATTGCACAAAGTTATGATGGAGCCGCAGTGATGAGCAATCAACATGCAGGAGTTCAAGCATTAATTAAAAAAAGTATCCTTTTGCTCACTATGTACATTGCTATGCCCATCAGTTAAATTTAATTATGTCTAATGCTGTTTCTGCAAATTAGCAAGTACGTGTATTTTTTGAAATTTACAAGACATTCTGGGCTTTTTTTAATAATTCACCCCAGCGAGTAGAAGTCTTAAACAAGATTGTGAAGAGAAGGATCCCCACGGTGCTACAACCCGTTGGAATTTTAATATACAGTTCATCAAATTTCTAGAGGTGTTCGACGCCCAGACAGAGAACGCGCTACGTGTGACTAAGATAGCTATTGTACAGTCTGCTAAACAAGTTATTTTAAATAGTTTTTAATATTTTTAGGTGATTAAATTTTAAAAGTGTGGAATAGTTTAGGGATTAAATTGGTCTGATTGGACTTTCTTAGAACGTTTTTAAAAGCAGCTAAAGATAGTATGTAGAATTGAAAATAATTATTATGCCATAAAAGGTGTTTTGGAATTCCTTCAACCTTTTGAAATTGAGTCAAAAAATATAAATTTTATAGGATAGCGGAAAATACCTATAATTTTTTTGTAGGCCTTTGTAAATCGTGGAAATAGTTTATATTTTATTTCTACCTTATTAAGGAAAATGGTACCTATTATTAATAACGGTTGTTTCTGAAACATTACTAAAATTTTCGAAATTTTGTTTTTCTATAAAATAATAAACTATACTATTTAAAAAAAAATTTATTTCTCTTATAATTTTATAAAAAATAACGGGAATATTTACATTTCTTGATCTATTAAACAAAACGATAAATTATCTCGACGAATGACACCATGTTCTAGTACGGAAGCTAGCTTTACATTTTTGTTGGTGGTTTCATGGGTTTCATATCAATTTTTTGTAATTGTAGTTTACACGTACATATACCTCTTAACACTTGTTTGCTTTATTAAAAAAGTGTGTTGTTGTGATTTACGTCGAAATAAGTCAAAAACAACTTGAAACCCCATATAAAATCAAAAAGGAGAAACGGAAAAAAATTGAGCCTGTAAATGAACACAACTCAGAAACAAAAATAGCTATCTAATAATAAAAAAATAAAATTTGATTCTTGTGCAGCTTCATCTATATCATTAACTGTTTTTGGTTTTTTAATGGTTTTTCTTGGTGATGAAAATTCCGATATCTCACGGTTATCGATTCTTTTTTTCTCTCCAGAAATGCGAACGACAGTGTTTTTAGATACTCCTGTGGCTGCAGCAACACGATCATTTACATTTTTAAATGGTATTGAAGGTGAATTAAAGTTTCCTTCTCTTCTCATAAACTCTATAACATTGGCTATTATTTCGCGAGATTGACTGTTAATCACGCGGCCTCTTAATTTGCTATTAAACTCCATACTTAGGTTCTATTAAACTGTAATGAGCAAAAAACACAAAAGAAAATAAAAGAAATGTTTTAGCGAAATTTACATCTGACATTTACGTCTGAATGAAATAGTGAAATACTTGATGCGCAGAGTGTACTTTCATTGCGTAAATCCGTCGGGATGCCTGTCAGTAGTGCTTTCTCTGTCTAGCCGTCGAAAGCCTCTAGAAATTTGATGAACTGTAAGGACCATTAATGTTGTGTTCGAAAATAGAGCGTTTCTCGTTGAGTGTATGCATGAAATAGAAGAACAATTCACCAACAACACAGTCTGTAGTGCAGCCGCCTCTATGATCCGATCTTCAATTTTTGGCTGACTTTTTTTCATCATGTAATGCCCCAAGTAGATATCCCATTCAATCAACTGCAGCAAAGAAAAATTGAACTCACTCTAGTAAAAGACGCTATCGATAAATGTGAACGCAGTAGTTCGAAATAATATCGTCATTACTGAAGCATCAGATATAATAAGCTGTAACGAAGTCACTAAATTTTATTTTTAATTAATTTTAAAAATGTATATTTCAATTAATTCCCGCCTGAGGACATGTAGAAGATCCCCCGTATTTCTGTTTCCCAGGAATTACCGTTTTTCAACAATTGCCAGTACCCTCGCAGGTTAAAATATTCCTATATTTGCCGAAATCCGAATGGGCATTTTGTAGAGCCGATTTCCTACCAATTATCTACTTTTATTTGTCAAGGTACTAGAACATTTTTTTTTATTTTTAAATTGTGAACAGTTGGCTGTAGTGGTGGTGTCCCCCACTCGGGCTTACCGGTCTTCAATCTTGCCCAGCGAAAAAGCATAAATTCGATCACATCTGGGAATTACTCTCTCTTGATTTCTGATGACCGTAAGCTCTTGTCTCTCCTCCAGTAACGAGTGAAGTACTCAGTGAGTGACCGTGATATTGATAGAATACTGAACAACCCCGTTTATTTTTATAAGGTACGAAACCGTAAATTATTTTTTTTATATACAATTAGTTTGAGACACGCGTCCGACAACTGAAAAAATTTTGATTCATACCCAGGACATTTCATTTCATCCCTTAGTGGGAAACCGTTTGCAATCTCTTTTAAGAAGCGCCCAGTATTTTTCACTGCATGTAAGTTTCTTTTTCTTTTATTTATTCATTCAATTATACATATTTGAATCATTCCGTTTTCCGTCACCAATTAATTATTGAACGAAGCCCGACGTTTTCTATAAAATTAATTCACACACCGTTTTGATCGGCTTTGGCAAATCTCAAAATAATCTTTTCTATAACCATCGCCTTCGTTGTCCAAACACCGCGTAAATCATATCATTCTCGCTCGACGAAAATTGCCAGAGCGTCGATCGGTCCGAACTAAGATACAGGGACGTTCCGAAAACTTTGATTTCATTTATTTTCTTACATTTGATTACCGTCATATTTAAATTAATTTATTTTTAAAATTCATTTTCCGTATACAGGGAGTTTCATAATTCCCGGACCGCTTAGCCTCCTGTGCTATTTAATTAGTTTTCAATTGTAATAATTTATTTTTAATAAATTTTCCGAATACAGGGGGCCGTTAATATTCAATTAGTTTTTAAGTGTAATAATTTATTTCTAATACATTTTCCGAATACAGGGAGCCGTTAATATTTAATTAGTTTTCATTGGTAATAATTTATTTTTAATAAATTTTCCGAATACAGGGGGCCGTTAATATTCAATTAGTTTTCAAGTGTAATTATTTTTAATAAATTTTCTGAGTACAGGGATCCGTTAATATTTACTTAGTTTTCATTTGTAGTAATTTATTTTTAATACATTTTCGGAATACAGGGAGCCATTGATATTTAACTAGCTTCAATTCTAATAATTTACTTTTAATTATTTTTTTTCTGTATATAGGGATCTGTAATTACTTTCTTGTAATCTCGTTTAATTGTAATCATTCATTTT